ATCGATTGATACACTCTCTTAGGCGTACATGCACATTTTTATTTTGTAAGTGTATAATTACACATTGAAATGATAACAATAATAATAAGAGCGAAGAAAACAACAGAGAGATAGTAGGTTTCACTAGTTAAAATCATGAGTCAATTGAAACTACACCATCATGGGAAACCTGGAAGCACTGGAAGGTCATTTTGTCCTGGTATGAGACTTTTCAGCAGTTCGCATTCATGATCTTTTTCGCGGGATTTGAATCCAGGACCTATCGATCTTATTCACGAACTCAACGGCCGTTCACTGCTTCCAGGTTTTTCATGGTGGTCTAGCTTTAGTTGACTCATGAATGCAACATTCGGAATAGTCAATTTCCAACCTTATAATTTCTGTTTTCATTTTCAAATAGTATGTTCATTACAGAACTGAAATTATCAGGTTGTTTTAACTTATTCATAATGAATTTCAACAGTTATGCAAGAAACATCATTTATCCAGTCTTACTATATCATAATTATAAAAATTTCATTCTAACTAGTGAATGCTGTCATGATAAAGCATTTTCAGGTAACAGTTGTACAATATTGTATTTATTCATTGCCTTTAATCATCAGTATCGCCTACTTATCATCATCAGCTTCCAGAAGTTTTCTAGCAGTTCAGTTTCTACGACAAGTTTTATTGTTTCTGTTTGAACATTCTAGTACTGTGAACCTTATTAATTTGAAAGCATTTTATAGCAATGATCAAGTATATACAGTTGGAATTCATTACTATTCAATTAAAACAAACGTAAAACAGTACAGTTGATTGACCGGAATATGTAGAGCAAATACTAGAACAGGTTGACATCAAATCTTAGATTGAATTGTTGAAGTCAAATAAATGAACTCTTCTGCTATTTTAATCGTAGATCATTTCATTGAGGCATTTTTACACTTTTAAATTAACGAAATAGTAAATAAAATATTTCAAGGCAAATTAACAACAAAATTCGTTAGAAGGTACAAACTTTTCAAACTGTATAAAATTAAAAACAAACAGAAGATCGGTAATTTCAATGATTCAGATCATGAGTCAACTGAAGCTAGACTACCATGGAAAACCTGAAAGCACTGGACGGCCGTTTCGTCCTATTGCGGGACTCCTCAGCAATGTACATCCACGATTCCGCCTCGCGAGATTCGAACCCTGGACCTATCAGTCTCACGCGCGAACGCCAAATCTCTAGACCACTGAGCCGACATCCAGTGGTGTTATTATCTGACTTCAACCAATTTATGAAATTGCTCCACCGTCCACCATTGTCATCAGTGAGTAACTATCTCACAACAGTCCCGGTTGAGCTCCACTGGTCATTGCTTCTCACTAGATCTTCAGGAAATACCTCTTGAAGCCACTCACTAGTGTGCACATGTTGATTCATATCAAAAGGGACTTTGTGGATATTATAGTAATTTCAATGGTTGAGATCATGAGAAGACCGATAAAACAGTAGAAGTTTTTCATGAGTTTTTCTAACCAGAGAACATTATTGATATAATTATTGCTTAGCTGAAAGGATGGTAGTGATTCAGTGATTAAATAACTTTTGCTTACAACTAATAGGCCGTGTGTTTAAAACTTCCCATCATTTTGTTCGATTCGAGTATACAGTTGATGTTCATTGATTAAGTGATGAATAACATAATATTTATCTAAACTAAACAGGGCATCTTGTCGACTACCTCTGATCACTTAGATTAATGCTCACAATGTAACTTGATCGATGGTATTCACTTAGTACTACGGATAGGACAAGCAGAAATTAACTGCAATCTGTGATCAATCAATACTAAATACTTCAGTCAGAATGGCTCAGTGATCACGTCTCAGAATATAAAACTGAGTAATTAGTATTTGAATCCATTAGGGAGCAGAAGTTCTTTAGATACTGTAGGTACATCATGTTAGCACCATACCTAGGTGGAAGATTCACAATTGATTACATTCAAACAACTAATATCAAATATCCAGTATTACCAAACTTATAATACGTAGTATATAAACACTTCTATTTGGTAAATGAGTTGAATCATAAAAAGTAATATCTGATTTTTACTTGTTCCTTTAAGAATTCTTAAACAATACCACTTATGAAACCAGTCCAAGTTATTTGGTATTGCTTCTATCACATCTCAGTTGAATTCTTGTGAACGAGAACACCAGGGAGGACAATCAAATGTATTTTAATACATCATCACTGAATATCTTTGTAAAATCTGAGAACCATACAGTGAATAGTTCATATGCGAAATATCTATCAGTTGTCTCAGTTTATACTGCTACTTAGTTTTCGTCCGTCCTGGAAGCCACGGACGACCATTTCGTCTTAACATCGGAATCCTCAGTAGCGTACATCTAAAATCCCGAACGCGGAGCTGAAACCCAGAACCACGCGCGGAAGCCTAACATCTAGACCACTGAGTTGGCACCCAGTGGTGTTAATTAGACAATAATTCGGAAATATACACACAATACTTGAAATCGTAACATATTTATTTATGTGACGAACCGAATATAATAATATAAGGAAGGTAAGGCCACAAATATTTACAATACTAGCAATATACATGAACTACTAAGTAATTAAATGAAATAATTGGAAGGAAATCAAGTCAACAAATTAAGAACGGTAAAATTCATCCATTTCCAGAGATAAGACAGTTATCATCAACAAAATACAATGATTCTCACATTCCATACAAGACTGATTAAAGTTAGTAATGCAAAGCATTGGTTTCTGTCTCAGTAGTCTATAAGTACTTAACTTGGTAGCCAACGTATGTAACTCTAAGTTTCGTCTTACAAGTAACCAAGCGTGTATATGTTTCCTAGGCTAAAATTCTTGAAATATAACAAAAGAGTTATATAATTCGATTTTGAATAGTTTTTTGAGGGGGTGAAGGGTAGAACTGATTTCTTAATATAAAACTAACTTTATTATTCTAACATCAAAAACTGTGCCGTTCAGATGAAAAGATGAAAAACGAGACTTTTAGTGATAATGAGAAAAGACTATACAATATACTTTCCATAATATTGAAATGTAGACAATAAAAACTTTGACAATCCGACCGACTTATACAAAATAAGCTTGATGACAATTAAAACGCTAATATATATATGTACATTCTTAGCATTTATATGCTAACAAGAGACTGATCAGTTGCAGTCCTAAATAACAATGGGAAGATACAAATAAAACAACACCAAATGAATTTAAACTTGACCCCATTGTATAAACAAGTGGCCATCAGGACTCAGTAGCTAGGTGGATAATGCAATGACATTTGAGGAGGACGGTACTGAGTTCGAGTCACGGAGCAAACATCAACTCTGAAATGAGTCCCAAATAGGACGAAACGCGCGTCAAACTGGATTCCACTGCTAGCCACTATCCAACTTTGCTTATAAAGCTTGTGACTTAAGACTATATCGAGGCAATCCGCACAGGATGCACATATGCCAACAAGAGACTGATCAATTGCAGTCCTAAATAACAATGGGAAGATACGAGTAAAACAATACCATGTGGATTTAATATTAAAGTTACGCATATAATTAAGTTTGTCCTTAAAATATTCAATTAGTATACTAAATTGCTACTTCAGTTGAATAAAACCTTCAACATTGATCAACTAAACTATTAAGTCCTTCTTAGAACCCTGTAAAACTTACAGTTAATTAATTATGAGAGTTTACAGCTTGAATCAAGAATTTAATGAAAGATCCTTCATCTCTCTCTTCATATAACATAGATATATATACTTATACAAATTGCTCTGACAAACTATGTAACGCTTATGGCGACATCTTTTGAACATATTGAGTAATTAGTTAAGCACCATAGAACATAGTAACTGAACATTTTTTTGACTGGAATAACATTCTTTACAGGTAGAAGTTGTGTTTTTTGATTGGTTGATTTGTTTAAATCTACAATAAATCTATTGTTAAGTACTCAGCATAAAAAAACTAACGGAATAAAATTGAAAAGTATTGATATTTTTCGCTTGCGGACCCTCCGGGGCTACTGCTGGTTCAAAGTCCGGATAAAGGAGGATGGTTGGGTATGAGGTTAGCAACCCCATCCTGTAGAAAAGTAAATCAACCAAAAAAAATAAGTCTTACACTTAAAGATGTCCCACTGACATAACAAAATATATTATATTATTTTGGTGAATATGAAATAACTTATACCTTCTTAATAAACAAGTATCTGATTGAAACAACGTATGGAACTTCAGTGTAATTATGAGCCATCTTATTCAGATTATGATATTAGCTGAAAAACTATTCGAAGCAAATTTAAATGGTTGTTTCATTCTAAAGGTATAAATACATTGAAAATAACAACAAGACTTCAAACGAAAGTGAACTGTCAATTTTTAGATCTAGAGACTAGGTAGACAACATCACATCACTCAGTCAAAATATAAACGTTCATGTCCTTAAATTTATTTAGTTCGAATTGTAGATGAAAAAGCGTTGAAGATTATTTGGCATCAGTTTCGTTTTCGTCTAGTTATCCATAACCTAATTAAGGAAATGACCTAGAATCTTTCAGCGTCTTAGCTAGATTGTTACTTTTAAATGACTGAACCAAAACCGAATAGTCTTTGTCTCTAAATTATCGCTCAGTTTGGGGTAATGTGCAATAATTGTCTTATGTCAGTGATATATAACTATTTCACAATTTCTCATCAGAAATTTAGAAATCGGCGTCAACATCAGTTATCAGTTTGTAAAGCTTTATAGCTCAGCTGAGCGGTTTATTGAAAATAAGTTTAAACACAAAGGATTTCATTCTAGCTTGTTTTCTACTTGACTAATTGAATAGATCATACATTCCAACCAATTCTAAACGTTGTTTTCCATTGTAAAAGTATTTCATATTATTATCATCTCTTCAAAGATCTTTGTATTGATCCATTGCCTTTTGGTGATTTTTTTTATTTATTTATAAGATGCCGAAAGTCCTGATGATTTAAATTTTGAAAAGAGAGCTTATCATTTCTTTCGACTGAAAAAATCAGAACGATGTCTACGTATTCCAGATAGTGTTAAACAAATGATACTTAGAGTAAGTTTTATATTTCATCAATATTTGTTTCTTATTCATGATGGTTATTCTGTCCATTTTAATACTCGGAATCGTATTTCCAAAAGGAAATTAAGAAAAGAATTGTCAAGGCAACAAGATTCATTTTAATTTTAAATATTTTGCTGTAAAAGAATACTTTCTACATTAAATGGTACTATAGATCTTGATTTGATGAAATTTGGAAATTCCAAAGGAGTTTTAATAGAAATCCTGGGTATTGTTTTTCGTTTTGATGTCTTAGTAACATGATTAAACCTCTTTATTTTTTAATACAATCAATTCCTTGTGGATTATTTAAACTTGTGTTAATTTGTAGATATCAGTTGAACAAAGTGTTTGATTTTCTGACGCACATTGGAATTAACTTACTTACTTACACCTGTTATTCTTCATGGAGGAGCATAGGTCACTCACCAGCATTCTTCATACAACTATGTCCTGGACAATCCTTTCCAGTTCTTTCCAGTCGCTTTACACCCTTTTCATATCTACTTCCAGTTACCAACGTACTGTGCTTTTCGGCCTTCCGCTTTTTCGTTGCCCATCAAGATTTAAAGTTAGCGTTTGACTGATGATGCAGTTTGATGTTTTCCTCAGTGCGTGTCCTATCCACTTCCAACGTCCTTTCCTAATTTCCCCCTTTAGATGGGAGTTGGTTTGTTCTCTCTCACAGTAGGTTGTTGCTCATGGATTACGATCAACGATCACTGAGTACCTTGCATTGACAACTGTTAATAAATACTTGTACCTTTTTGATGATGGTTTTAGTAGTTCTCCAAGTTTCAGCCCCATACAACTAAACTGTCTTGACATTCGTATTGAAGACTCTGATTTTGATATTGGTTGACAGTTGTTTCGAGTTCCATATCTTCTTGAATTGTAGGAATGCTATCCTTGCGTTGCCAATTGTTTGCATCAGATACTCCTTGTTCATCAACGATGCTGTACAGAAGCGTGAAACTTCCCACTTCTTCCAGAGTTTCACCATTATTTGTGATAGGGTACTATTCCTATCATGAACAATTGACTTATTAACGAACAGATTTGTTAATTTAAGAGAGCTTATCACTGTGGATTGATTGTATTTAAACATATATTGGAAATCTGAATGACGGAATTTCACTTAAATGATTTTTATGAAATGTAGTTACTGTAAAGCTTCAAAGCTTTGACTTCAATCCACCGATGATTCATAAGGTATTCATTAATGTGAGATTCACTATTATGATAAGCCAACTATCTACTGTTCATTCTTTTCTCAATAAATAGCTAACTATTGAAATTACTACAATCTCCACAAAACCCCCTTTGATCTATGTTTTATCAAAAAAGTGCCCCCCGCCCATGTTCTGCTTGATATTCATATCATGATTTGCTTGTTTTATACAACGAAATGGATGAGTGATATACTACTTATTTACAAACTAATCAGTTTATACAATGTTAATCTAATTCATTTGAATTTGTTATAGTAACCAAATGGAATCGAATCAAGAAACTTTTTAAGACGCCTTAATGAGTTCAGTAAATTAGAGCAAACAAATTATCGCCTACTAGAGTACAACTTTAAATTTAATATTATTCCAATACTTGTCAAATGTCTTGTTAGAATTAATCATATTGAGAGTATGACAATTCGTCAACCAATAGGAATGTTTCATCGTCACATATTGTCATGACAATGACAATTATAGGATATTAATTCAGAGACTTACAAGCATTATTCCTGTGGCAACCATTCAATATACCTACGTAATCATAATTGAAATCATAGGTGTATGCTACTGAACCGTTGTGAAATAAGACGAATTCATGACTTATATTATTCTTACACACTGAACAAATCTCGATGACGCACCAAATTAAATATGTATAAATAAATGAATATGTATGTAATTTAATAATTGAATAATGAGTCAATTGAAAACCTGGAAGCACTGGACGGCCATTTCGTTCTAGTATGGGACTCCTCAACAGTGTGCTACCACGATCCCGCCCCCCCACGCGAGATTCGAATTCAGGACCTATCAGTTTCGCGCGCGAACGTTTAATCTCTAGACCACTTAGCCGGCATCCAATGGTGTTAATTTTTAACTTCAACCAATCCATGAAATTGCGCCACCGTCCACCATTGGCATCAGTGAGTTACTATCTCACAAGAGACCCGGTTGAGCTCCACTGGTCACGGTTTTCACTAGAACTCCATGAAATAACTCTTGGAGACAATCACTAGTGAGCATATAATGAGTATAATCGAAGGGGATTTTTGTAGAGATTGTAGTAATTGGATCATTGAATTCATGAGTCGAATATATATGTCTATGCTAATAACAATTAATTGTAATAAATCCTTAATTTCCCACGGATTTTCTTGTATATTTAAAAGAGTATTGTTTGTTTGCTTGTTTGTGTTTCTATGGTTGACCAGTTAAGTTTCATTATTCTATAGAACTTATGAATAAGAATTACATTAGGTGAATGAAATATTCCCAAGAGAAATAAATAATGTAATGTTGAAACTGTAACGAATTTATACTTCACATCATATATATATATATATATATATGGAATCTAAACCAGGTAATTTAATTACCATGGTCAAAAGAAATGGCTTCATTATAACTATTACATAGAACTAATGTAATCAGTTATTCTAGGCAACCTGAAATTCAGACTATTCGATTGACCTTATTACATCTATTGTTAATAATATTGGAATTATATTGATCTTTGATTTATTTGGTAATAAATTTGTAAGAAAACGATCCAGTTGAAAAGTTGCTGTTACTCAATTACTATACCATTGTGAAGATGGTTGTAAGCGATAATAATGTGAAACTAAGCTCTAGATATAACAACGACAAATCATCGTCTCGAATGGAATAAACATCGTAGGATTTTGACTTGAAACCATTTCTTCATTATGTGGTATTTTAGCCATCAAAATAGAATATGTGATATTTATCAAGTCATTTGTTGGTGATCTAATGAATGTTTGTCATAAAATAAAATCAACTTGTCAGTCTAACCGATGAAATTCAGTCAGTCAGCTACAACGTAGGACCAGGCACATATATGCATAGGTTCAAGTTGCCAAACCTCATTAGCACAACAAGATGAACACCAAATTCATAGAAATAGTCACTTCGATAGAAGTAATATATAAAAGAAAGATTGCATATAAGGATATAGTACAGGAAAAAAGATTTAGTACGTAGAAAGAAAGATATGAAGCGATTTTAATCTCATAGTTTAAGGGAAGACAAAGAGTGCATACATAGACGCCATTGTGATCGATTATGAGCCATGTCACTCACAATCTACAACCATTGGTTACGATAGTCAGGGGAACCCCAACCGAGTAGACTGAAATAAAAAGTAAAGGGTCTATGGTTATGATTTCTTTTATAAAGGCAATACTCCTTTGAAAAAGAATGGAATATCATTTTAACCGTTAAATTCACGAGTCAATCTAAGTTAGATCACCATTGTAAATTTAGAAGCACTAGAAGTGAATGGATCAATTGAAGTTAGATATCAACACTGTTGGACCCCGGATCAGTGGTCTATAGAATGGGCGTTCATTCGTTAAGCTAAAGGTCTTGGATTCGAGTCTGGTGTGCGGGATCATGATTGAACATTTCTTAGGAGTCTCATACCAGGACGAAATGACCGTCCAGTACTTCCGAGCTTTTAATGGTAGTCTAGCTTAGATTGACTCGTGAATTCAACTTTGCAAACACTACGATCTCCACAAATACTCATACCGAATATCATCTAATAATCTTTAATTCAACCAGTATTTCGGATAGATTGATTACGAACCGATCTTGTGTTAAAATGAATGTAATTTTATTGTCATTAAGTTATTTCAACGCTAAAATATCAATATATTTGTTTACGAAGGACTTATATTAACAGTCTAAGAAATGATAGATCATACCTTTAGCTTGTTGTCATTAAGAGAATGAAGTAAATGTCTCTTCACAGTCTTAAACGTTTCATAAATAATCACGTCAAAACAAATTCTCAGCATCGGTTTGCGGAGATTTTTAAATTGTTTTATGAGTATAAGCCTATCTACGTTAGACAGCCATTAAAAACCTGGAACCACTGGTTGGCATCTTGTCCTAGTACTTTAGAATTTTTAGTGTTTGTCTTACTTAAACTGGTTGAAGATTTCCATAAACATCGAATTTTCTGTATCGGTCAAATTATGTACGTGGATACGAGCATCAATAATTCAACTGAACTTCTGAGACGTTACAAAAATTACTTAAATACCATTAATCATCGCAGTTTCAGATGAACACAAGAGGGAAACAATCACAATCTTCTATATCCACGTATACAATCAAAAAGAGTTATATAATTGACTTACTCCGAGATATGTGTGCAAAATAAAATGAATTGAAAAGCAAAAACTCTTTTCACATAGAACCAGTTATGGTCATCTCAGTTCTATTTTAATCCAAGTGGAAAATGTATTATTCTATCTATACTATACACTTGTTCTTGCATTTTCCCATTATTTTTATCTAACTGAACCATCCTAATATATGGTTGACTCGTTCAAAATCTGTACTAATGCGCTTATATACCACATGTTTTTCAAGTCTATAAAGTGTGTGCTACTTATATTGACGGATATAAGTAGTATGTAACAGCAATCAAAATTAAATCCAATAGACGAGAACAAGAACAGAAAGTGATTGGTATGGAAATGAGGGAACGACAATGTCTGAGGCGATTGACGAACATTTTTTAAATAAAGTACTATATGTATGGTATTCACATTTTACCAAATAACTCTGTTACTTTGTGTTTAATTACATGTGGTCGTCTCCATTACATCTACATTATTTTCCTACTATGGTCTCCGGATGAATCATTAAAGTAGTTGACTGACATAGTGATTAATCGGATTTCATTTAAGCAGAAATCAAACGTCTGTCATCATCATTAATTCAATCATGTGGTTTGCCTTTTAAATTCTTTAAGGAAATATTGACTACATAATAAGTTCAGTGTTGATATCTTATAAATTATATTGTATATAGAAGATAATCATTTCGTTTGTTTCAACAACAACAACAACAACAAAAAGAGAGGAATCATGCTATTAAATTATACTTTTATCTCATTTATAGGAACCTTATATTGTATGCCCAGAAGATCGTGAATTTCTTGGATTATAGAATATATTGATCTAATTCAAGATCCATTCTATTTACGGTAATCTCAACAACAAAACAGAAAAAATACACAATGATAATGAAACATTCAATGAAATTTAATTTTAAAAAAAAAAATAAAAAAAATTCGGATACATTCCTCCTTCTTTGTTATTATCGTTATTGTAGTTTTCTTTTCCTAATTTCCTTCATTCACTATCTCAAACAATACTTGTTCATTTGATGAAATCATCATGGAAATAACAGTGATAATGTTTAAAGGATTCATATATTAAAAGAATAATGATAGTAGGTACGTGATGAAAATGACGAATGGTTCTTCGATTTTTTGTTGTTGCTAGATTCTTTCTAAAGTACTCCTTTCATACGTATTTCTCTTTTCTTCTTTTCTTTTCTTTTCTTTTTTGTTGTTGTTGTTGCTGTAATCCGAATTTTAATTTAACTCTATTCAAAAACAAATTATGATGAAATCAGTAAATAAAATGTTTGAAATTATTTTCTTTTATTCATCTAAAGGAAGTACTAGGGACTGTTGAATTAATTAAGATGGTGAACTAAGGATTACATATCAGAGGGGTGGATGTGAAATATTTTATTTAATTCACTTAATGTTGTTTACTTGTCTCTTCCCCTTGTTATTTAGAACTGCAATTGATCAGTCTCATGTTGGTATATGTGCATCCTGTGTGGACTACCTCGATATAGCCTTAAGTCACGAGCTTTTAATGCAAAAATGGATGGTAGCTAGCAATGGAATCCATTTTGACGCGCATTTCGTCCTATTTGGGATTGGTCAGCTTGATGTACCTGATCTCAGAGTGGATGTTCACTGTGGGAATCAAACCCAGTACCGTTCTCCTCAAATGCCATTGCGTTGTCCACTTAAATACTGAGTTCCCGAGTGAACATCAATTCTGAAATGTAGGCAGATCCAGCTGACGAGTCTCAAATAGAGCGAAACGTGAGTTAAACTGGATTCCACTGCTAGCCAGCATCCATCTTCGCTTATTCTATTTAATGCTTAATAAGAAAAATTATTCACTAAATATCCATATATATATATATATATATATATATATATATATATATATATATATATATATATATATATTTGGTAAGCATGAAACTCGCATTTGCACAGTGAAATCATCAAATCATCTTTTGTGCTTTATAAATGTTTCCCTACTAGAGATATATATTGCGTCCAGTTATGTCTGCCGCACATTATATGAAAAATTATCCATATAAGTAAATCCGCTTTCCAATATGCTACACCGACCTTCATGGCTGGAAGAGATACCACAGGCTCACATTTTTTAATTAGATCTTGAATGAAAATAAATCATAGACTAATAGTGATGTAACGGTCTCAACAATTTTAAACTCTGGTTCCTAAGCAGTTGAAAATAATAGAAAAAACTCCTCTCGCATATGAACATCACAAAGTAATCGACGCTGAAGTTAAACACATGATGCTGACTATAGTCGGCAAATCAGTTAATAATTTTTGAATCTTTATCGAATAAGATGGTTGGAGTATGTATTATATATGCCTTAACAACTATCTACCTTGATATACGATGCTTATAGGTTAACCAATTCAAAAATTGATGTATCAAGAATATGTCACAGTGAAATCATTGAATGTGATGACGAACATATGCAATTCATTCAAGAGATGAATAAAAAGTAAGTTGTAGGTTTTTTGCTTGCTTCTCTCACCGGAAAATTCATACAAGTTTGTTTTGTTGGTCTGTTTAATTAATATATTCGCTGTACCATTCATGGTTGTACGTCATTTATTCAATAATAAATTAGGGTCGCGAAAATTTAGTTTTCCAACATTTATGCTAGATCTCACTTTGAAAAAATCGTTTATTTCTGACAATATACACATTTCATTTCTGTTTCCATTTATCGAGAAATTCGGAGAAATCATCAGAAGTCAGTTCACTACATCTGCCTTTTTATTCAAACTAGAAGGATTTGAGCGGTTGAGATGAATTGAACAAATAGATTTAATAACATTTTTGTTGGTCAAACCAAGAAGCGCTATTAATCACTGAATTCATTGACTATTGAAATGTACGATGTAGTTAAGAGTAAACTGATTGATCAAATTTTTGATCGAAATCATGAACCGATTGATATCAGACCACCATAAAATACCTGGAAACACTGGACGGCCATTTCATTCTCTTATGGGACTCCTCAACATCTGCAAGCGGGATCGTTGATGCTTAGTTCATAATGTCAATCAAAATATTAGTAATCTCCACAACTCTATACTGATAAGTGATTAAAGTCAAAACAATAGTCATAACCAGTTGTTAGAATTATTGAGTGTATAGTAAAGTGAAGCAAATCTACTCACTCTTTGTTTTCTCTCAGATTTTCAATATTTCAAACATTTTATACTTCTTTTTTAATTCTGTTATTTCAATCTTCTTATATCATATTGTTTATACTCAATCGTCCTTTATTATAACCGATACAAATGTCTCTTCTTTAATATTCATCTTAATTATTTTATCTTGTTATACTGAAGAGATTTTGTAAATATAACCGATTCACATAAGTAATTTGTTTGATGTTGCTTATAACTAACTAACTAACTGCCTACCTACCTACCTAACTAACTAACTAACCGCCTACCTACCTACCTACCTACCTAACTAACTAACTAACTGACTGCCTACCTAAATATCTAACTACTAACTAACTGACTAACTAACTAACTGACTGACTAACTAACTAACTGAGTAACTAACTAACTTCGATAGTGCATATGTTGGGGTGTTTGTGAAGTCTACTATTGGTCTTAAAGGAATATCTGGTTTATGAACTAACTAACTGCCTAACTAACTAACTAACGAATTGATTCGAAAGTCTTAAATATAGATTGTCATTTATTATCATGGTGAAATTGTAGTCATTTTCTTTTTTTTTTGTTTTAAATGTTAACTTTAAAAAATCTGGGTAGTTTAAATGAATCTTTGTTATAGATTGAAATTAGTTTGTGGAATTTGATTTACATAATTTACCTTAGTAACATCTACAAATCACTGGTAGTATGATCCTTTTAGAATAATTAAACTATTCACATATTTAGCCTTAATAAATTTATGTTTGGGATAAATAAAACAAGGTGCATTAGTGACAGTTGTACATTATTATTGATTGAGTAACATTTAGCATGTGAACATTTGTAATACGAACCAAATGCTTAAAAATGGCACATAAATCAATAAAACGTAATAGTATATATATTCGATTTAGTCTGGATTGTGTATGGTCACTAGTGTAATGTCCTAAACTAAAATTACGAAGCAATTTAAGCTAGACTACCACTGAAAACCTGGAAACACTGAACTGTCATTTTGTTCTAGTACAGGGCTCGTCAGGAGTGCACATCCACGATACTGAACGAAGAACTGAAACTCAAAGCCTACAGTCTTACGCTCAAACGCTTCACCTTTAGACAACCAAGCCGGGATCCAAAGGTGTTAATGTCTAACTTCAATCAATCCATGATTATAGAAAACGTTTTCCATCAAAAAAGTAAATCATGGCCTGATTAACTAAGATCTATAACATTTAAATAAGGCAACAGAATATTTTCATCATTTCTGGCAAAACTAATTCTGTAACATGTTTTATTCAATCTACTACACTTACATTTTTAAAACAAAAATGAGTTGAATCAGTTAAAAGGTTAAGATAATAATTAATTAGAATACCTTTTACGGGTCAGTTGAGTATCCTTTATGTTCTTTTTTTGTCATAATACAAAGTCAGACAACAGATTTAAATAGAATTCGTTAGGTGAGACTTTAATTGATGGACGATATTTGAGGGACTCTAAAATGACCTTGAGAATGTCCACCTACTAACTACGACTAAGTGAAGGACATAAACCAGTGTGAGTAATGAAAATTATGATTTATAGTTGATGGTTAGAGTTGGAAATTAGATTAAAGGTTTTCATCACGAACTGAGATCACCAAGAATGCTAAAACTTTGAGATCAGATGGTGGTTGGAGGTAGTCGACAGGAAACCCTGGATCCAGGTTTCGTGCTACTTGGTACTCGTCAGCAAGGTGTACCTGTAATCTTGAGGGAACTAGTGCTCCCTGGCGGATTCGATCTCGTGTCGAGTCACCTAGACTGGTGGCCACATTGCAACATGATCGATAGCATTCGATCTGCACTAATAAGGACTAGACACGCACGACATTGATCGCCACCCAGTGATTAATCAATTGTGATGCTAAAACTTTATTTAGCAAATTGGATGAGTGAATTTCAGGCCAAAATCCATGACCTGTTATCCCATATCTGATTGGTTCGTTCATAAATTATAAATTCATTATACATTATATTAAAATTCCGTCATGTTTATTTGTTTAGCCATGACGTGGTCTACTCTAATAATCCCGTGAGCGGGATCGTGAATGTGCATTGCTGTGGAGTGGCATACTAGAACGAAACAATCACATCCAACCTTGGCATTGATACCCATGTTATACTCTATTGATGAAACAAATCTAAAAAAGAAAAAAACTGATAATTATCGTTAAAATTGTAACTTAGAGCAACATATATCAGCGAACAATATTGTTTTCCACTAGATCCTCATCAGGCTTTGCTCTAATATACATATGCATATAAGAAATTATTAAACAAATCAAGGCAGTGGAATAGATTACATAAATATACATAATAAGTGAAAAGTATAAATTGGTCATGTGATGACAGATGTACTAGTTGTGATAAGAATAATAAAGGCTTGAATCAATGTTACATAATGAGAAATAGATCAACGATCTGAAAAATATAGATCCTGAGATAATATAAAAATCATAAGATTATGTAATAAGAAGTGTTCACATAATTGGACCGTGAAGTGTATATTTGGGAGAGGAAAAAGGATGGGAGGGTGTGAAGAAAAATAAACGAATAAAGAGTATGGAAAATAATAATAAATAAATTTATTTATTAAG